GTTGCCAGATCATTGCACACAAAACCAACTTGAATTAATTCAAAACAAAAATACTAGCGAACCTGGCGGTGAGGGGCGGAAGGTGGACTAAAATTCTATTACAGAGAACCACATTATTTTAATTCATTTCTTCGGAGAAAGTCGTCTGTAACTTCGTTTGTGGTACTACTGTAGGGTTCCACCTATCCGGAGAAAAGCCTGATTGTTCCGGAGTAAGGTTTGGTGTCTGTTGTTGGAATTCTCCGGAGAGTTTACCTATGCGTCCGTACGCGGTCGTGGTCCGAGGGCAAAGAGGTCGAGAGACAATTGCTGCGTGTTCTCGTTGTCACCCGTCGCGTCTGCTGAGGAGTGCGCAGGGTTATGTGCGTGATGGATAGTGGGCGGCTCGCATCTCTATGCGGAGGGTATTTGATACCGCACATTCCCCTCTTACATTAAAAAAGAAACATCACTCTGTTTGATTTGATGTAAATTAATGATATTCATAAAACTATCCATCTTTGCGTTCAGCGATTCACCCAGCTTTGGGTACACTCAGTTTACCGTGCAGTTCACTCGTATCTTGGGTTTGTTCAATCGTTCAACATTACTAATGTAAGGTTTTGCACCGTCGAGGTTAACCTCAATCCGATGACAGTTCAGTGGTACTCAGAGTTGCGACCCATCACAATCACGATCGTCAAACAGCTGATGGTAGTAACGCTTTGTACATTCCTATCAATGTGCTCGTCGAAGCTCTCTCCATGACCATCCATCAAGTTGACGAAAGAAGTAAAAAGCAACTGGTGAATGTCATCTTCTGTTGTGATCCATCACCAATCTGGTCATTCCCGACAATCACGACACTCATCTGTGCTCGTTTTGAAGCAGTTGCTGCTTTGCTTGCTTATGCGAGTGTGTTGGCGAGTGAGCCCAACAGCTTCCGTTTCATGTTGCCTGCTTTGTTTGTAACTCACACAGTCGCGCCTGCCGAGACGAACTTGGAATGCGTAAGCATTGTTTTCTTTTTCTTCTGTCGTTTCGCTTTTTCTCATGATCGTACTGCAGAAGTCTTTACTGTTTTCGTTGTGCTTTTCATCATCAGCTGCGAGTGTAACGTTTTGCTTGTGAGCAGCGACCATTACTGGTGATTGTTGTTTGCCATGGCTCTAACTCTCACTGCGTGACAAAACGATCTGTCAGCGATAGTCGGTTGATGCGAAAACGAGTGTCACGTGAGTGTCATGAAATTTCGCATCACTGGTGGTACTTTGTTCCTTGTCAATAACGGATAAGAGGTGATCACTGATCATATGAGCAAAACCGAAGAATACTCCTGGAAATCTTAATTTTTCCTTTCATGTTAGGGTAAAATACGTCGAAGATGCTTGCGTGGATCTTCCTGTACGTAATTGATGTGATTTTTTTCCGAAGTTCCTACGGCACATCACGGCAAAGTGTCCAATCTGACCGCACGAATTACATTTCTTTTCCAACGCGGGGCAAGAATTCCCTTTGTGGAACGAAAAACCACATCTACAGCGTCGAGTGCGTCGTTCCTGACGGTACTCCTGAGAATTACCACTGAATCTATTCGCTTGACCATTCCTGATTTCGCCTGTTTTTCGAGCATTGGGAAAGGCTGGCTCTCACAACGGGATGTTCGTACATCGGGTGGGTTGTGCGACACTTCCACAGCTTGCTCTCCTGCATCGTATGCTTCAACTCTCGTAGCAGCCTGCACGACATAACTCGCGTCGTGTCCGTATGTCCTAGCAGTCATTGCTAGCTTCCAGTTTTCCATGCCTTTGAGCAGCTAAGTAAGAATAAAACGCGCTTGGTCGATCGTGCTATAACCACAGAGTCGCACTTTCTGGGTCAGTCTGGCATGGAACGTAACGATTGATTCGCCTTTCATTTGACGCATTGCTTGGAAGGCTTCATGCTCCGCGGCCGCGTCAATCATCGACCTCAAGTAGGTGCTTACCTTTGCTGCATTAATTATGTCCTGTAGATTTTTTTCCCATCGAGAGGTACAACAATTTAGCACGTTCTGATGACCCAGTGAAAGTGGACAACTACGCTGCTACACGGTTAGAAAAAAGTACCCAAAATTAAGTTCTTTTCACTCATCTCGGCACTATAGTGCAGGAACCCAAAAGTAGGTAAAGCGGGTCAAAGTAATTTTGATTTACTTGTGTGCAGTTCGTATGGAATTTTCCACTAGCTTTTTAACCAAAAGTAAGTTAGTTGTACCCAATAGTAGATAAATATGATTATACCCAACGTTGGGTTCCCACACTTTACTACCCCTGTTGGGTGGTTTTGCTCCTTCTTTTTTGACAACATTAGAAGGAGAAAATGAGACAAACTAGTCAAAAGTAGGTAAAAGTGAACTGGCCGTTGGGTACTTTTTTCTTACCGTGTATCTCAAAATTTTCGAAGAAACTTTGCCAAGATTCCCATAGTTTATTCGACGGAATGTCCTTAGGAAGCTTAGGGATAAGATCCCAACGGATCTCTGCAAGGCCAGCGTGGAAATATGGTTGGAAGTAATTTCTTCCACTTCGGTCAAGATTGTCCGTCACTGGCACAGTTATAGGCGAACGATTTTCCGAAAAATTTCCCACCATTTCCTCCAAACGGCGCAATCTTTCATCCGTACTCTCACCGGTTTAGTGAGCAGCAACCTCCAGTTCGTCTGCGTAATAAGATGATCCATCAACCTGTTCTACAATCAACTCATCCACCGGATCGTTGCAAACGATCGGGACTAGAACATATTTTCCTTCGTCAAACATTCCGTGTTATCTACCAAATGGAAAAATGAAAGGGATTTTCACACTTTCCACATTCCTTCAAAAAAATTCCATAAAACTAAGAAGAGTTTCAACTTCCTCTACCGCTTTACTCCGGTGTTCTTCCAGACTCACCATGATCTACTTTCGATCAATGTTCCGCTGGTCTACCAGACGCACCATAATTAATTTCCGATCAATGTTCCGCTGGTCTTCCAGACGCACCTTGCACCATTTCATGTCACAAGGCATTTGTAAGTAACATTCCGGTGGTCTTCTAGACGCACCTTGGACCATTGTAGGTCACAAACCACTGACACCAATATTCTGGCGGTCATCTGGACACGCCATCGCATTTTTAGGTTATTTCTATACTCCGATGGTCTGCAAGACACATCCATATTTCAGCCAAGAGAAAAAAAAATTAAAATCCGATAGTAATTTTCCGGCTAGTAATCCTCCTGGCAGGATCGCCAATGTAGGGTTCCACCTATCCGGAGAAAAGCCTGATTGTTCCGGAGTAAGGTTTGGTGTCTGTTGTTGGAATTCTCCGGAGAGTTTACCTATGCGTCCGTACGCGGTCGTGGTCCGAGGGCAAAGAGGTCGAGAGACAATTGCTGCGTGTTCTCGTTGTCACCCGTCGCGTCTGCTGAGGAGTGCGCAGGGTTATGTGCGTGATGGATAGTGGGCGGCTCGCATCTCTATGCGGAGGGTATTTGATACCGCACAACTACCAACTACGATACTTTTAAATTGACCGTTAAATGCTTGTTCGATGAACAATTTGCGAGTGTTATGTCTGTTTGTCTGTGCTAAATGTATTTATGAACCTTTCTATTACATATTAGAAACTGTAAATTTTACACAGCATTAGAACATAAAATAAAAATATTTTTATGATGAAAATTTTGTTATTTCAATTGAAAACATGACATGACATTTCAACTGTATCAACCTTTCATGCCAAAAAGTTTGTTGTTAAACAAAATTAAACCAGTATTAATTTCAACACTGTAATGCTTTTCATTTGACAGTTGTACAATTTATTTTGAAATTTTAAACTTTTAAAAGTAGTAAACGGGCAATTACTCTTAATGTGAAAGTTGGCTGACTTTCATTTTAAAAGTGAACCGCTATCTACCAAAAAGAAACAATGCAAACTTTTAATTTTAGCAACGATCTTTTTGAATGTAGCAATGACTTTTTTGTGTGTGTACTGACATCTGACTCCGTGTTCGCGGGAAATATTGAACAATGCCATGAACCCGCATGCAACAGTTATTAATTGGTTCGTGTCTGATCTATTCTGGACGAATTATTTTTATCTAGATCAAAAAAATCCTATGGTTTTGACAGTTCGGATCACTGCACATTTAAATCGGCCGTTTACGATTTTCGGGCATAAGTCAGAATTAAGTGTCAGTCGGTTTGTCGGTGGTAATACCAACAATCAATACGAAACTAACGATTTTAAATTGGCTCACCACTTTAGTAGCCTATTGGTCCCAAGCAAACGATTAACGTACCCTATTCTAGTTGAAATTCTATTACTACACTATGTTTGTTTTGATTCGCTATGAAAGTTTGACAGATAACATCAGGGGTGTGTGGATTCATGCAGAACATGCAGGGGTGAGTGAAATAGATTGGGACTGCTTGGGACCGTTGTTCTGGTACTGAGTGAGCCAAAAATAATAATGATTTTCTTCGGGACCCAGTGGTCTTAGAGTTACCTCTATGGTAATACCAACAATCAATACGAAACTAACGATTTTAAATTGGCTCACCACTTTAGTAGCCTATTGGTCCCAAGCAAATCGATTACGTACCCTATTCTAGTCAAAATTCTAGTACTAACGGTTGTCAAATAATTACAACATAGAAATCACCATAAAGATAGCGCTTTAACATGTTATAAATCTGTAGTCTGACCAAGGCATTATGCATCAGACATGCATCAAGGCAAGGCTTTATCCTCGATTATGTATGATGCGGCATTTACCAATTTGGCCCTAATGAAAGCTCATTATCTAATTGTTTTCTGACATCAAAGTTGTGTCGCCCCTTGTTGAATTTGACTTTTAAAAGCTCGGTTTGAGCTAAAGTTCCACGAACTGTCATTAGCTCCAGTGCCATTATCTTCGAACGATCCATCAGTGACGTTTTATTTACCTCTCTTCGAATTTCGTCCTCGATCGATCTCCGCTGCTTTGCCACCGTCATTTCGCTTACTCGTAAAAAAAAAGTGATCCAATCGTCCGTCTGACCGAAAAAACAGCCAACAAAAGCAGCAACAACGGGGTTTAGTTTTGTGTGTGTTGAACCTACGTTTGTGCGATGGTTGTCGAACGTCGTCATCGCGTTAATTTACTGCGACGTTTTTCCTTTCAAAATTATAATGTCAACCACTCGGACGGGTTCTTTAGTTTTTATGTTTCATCAGCTGTGAATAATAGTCATAATAATCGCATAATTTCAAGTATGGATCATCCGGATCCTGCTGCGATTTGTCTTTTGTCGAAAAGTGTAATTTTGTATTGTGAATAAGTAGAAGAAACAGACAGAACAATACGCACAACTTTTTTTTTTCTCGTGAAAGGCTTCAAAGGCAGACAGGAAAATTTGCCATTTTGCTGCAATCTAATGGCACCAGATGGATTTGTTGTAATGTAAGGCGAACTGAAACGCAAGCTAGATTAATTTAGATAAGATTGGTTCAATGGTAGAACATTTTGGCTGAGCAGGATCGTTCGGAGTCTATTGGTTCGTGTAAATGAAGTACTGAGTGACAACCATAAAAATATGTTGTTTACGAAAATATGACCTAACTACGAACAGTAAGGTGAATCTGTGCAATGATCAATATTGGTGTGTAAATAATGTGTATTGTAATAGGCAGCATTATTGGAAGATTTGTCTGTGTCATCAAGTGAGACGGAGTTTCTAGTTGATAAGGATTGTTCTAAAAAAAAAACTCGGAAATTATGGATGAAAATACGGGATCCAATGGCGGAGGCGAAACAGACATGCATTCTTCCCCTTCCTCCAGTCGAGTCTTTCGACCTGACACCTTGCGGGATATTCTGGACACGGCAATTCAATCCAATGTTGATTCAGCCGAGGCTTCAGGTTGGTCATTATTGTCTTAAACAACCGAGTACTCACTAATCGCAACTGAATTTGCTTCGTTATTGTTCTAGAATTGGATGTTGACGCACCGCTATTCGCAACCGGTGGCCTACATGACTATATGCCACCACTGGTCCTGCCACGGGGACGGAATGCTGCCAATTTCTACGATAACATGGCTTATTTTCCTCCATCGGCGCATGTAGAAACGGCTCGCACCAATTTTGGCTTGTTTGGCCCCACTTCGGTTGGGTATTTACCATCTCATCACCACCAGCATCATCATCGTTCGCCTCATATAATGCAATCGGATCGATGCTCACCGAGTTTTCACCATACAGCTTTCAGTTCGCGTCCTACCGGTACCGGGTCTTTCATTGTACGCCAACCGGTGAATGTCGATCCAGTACCTGGTTCAAGCGATGGCTCAAACTCTGCTATGAGACCGAGGTCCTACTCAAGACCTCCGCGATCCTCAGAAGAAGCCACTTCCAACTGGAACAATCAAAACTTCCATCATACGCCGCATTACTCAGGTGCTGGTAGTGGGGATCGAGACGGGCGTGGTTGTTTCAACCGGAAACGCCACCACAACTGTGATATACACAATAAACCCAAAAAATCTACACAGTTGGAGAGATCTCATGCCCATCACCCGGTGGTCGGATCAGTAGATTATAGACTGATCAAAAGGGAACCCCCGCCCAGCCGATCACGGCCGCCGGTCAAAGCCGAACCGGAGGAGAGTTTATCTGAACCAAATAGGCCTTGCGAAAACCTGCTCCTACAAATCAAGAAGGAAGAGAAACCGGAAATGGGCGACAGTGCCAAGATCAAACAGGAAAATAACTGTCCCTGTGATTTTTGTTTGCCCAATCAAGGTGAAGAACGAAACTGTCAGAACCACCATAATATGATCAAGAAAGAACCAAAAGTAGAATGTGCCAACGTCGTTAAACAGGAATCGCAAGTCAAAAAGGAGGAAGATTGTAAGGCTGAATCGGACAAGCAGGAAATATATGTTCCCACAGTAGCTGTTCCCTCGGAAGAGCCAATGCCGGGTCCAAGTGGATTGAATCGTCACCTGCAAGACATCTTGCAGCAGGATAGAGGTAATAAGCACGGGAACCGCTTTCCGGTTTTTTCCGATGACGACGACGACGACGATGATGATGATGATGATGACGACGACGACGACGAAAACGACGATGCTTGTGGTGATTATTGTAGTGGTGGCTCGGACGTTGCTGCCAAAATCAGAAACACATCCGATGCCAATGTGGAGTCAGGTTGTGATCTCAGTGACCTGACCGAAGTCGAAGTGGAACCGGTAAACACAACTGACATCATCAATGAAGCCCACGCCGATACTTCCGGTCCTAATCTGAACAACTCCACGAATACGAGCATGATGGTGATCAATTCTAGTACAAGCAGCCTGGAGGATGTAGTGGACAACCAACGCAGCCCAGAACCGAACAATGATGAGCTGCCATTGGATTGTGCTAAGGTCGAATCGCAACAAATCCAGGATTCTCAGCAGCAAAGTGACGTCCTTTCGGCACCGGATCTGCAGCTGGATTGGGTCACCGATACGAGCAGTATCAGCGATGATAGTGATGTCGTTGTGGTTTATCCAGACGCGGAGAATGGGCGGGAACCGATTGATCTGACCAATGAATCTGAAGATGAAAATGTTGGTTGGATGGGCGACAGAAGAATCGACGAAAGTCGCAGTCTTAGCAGTCTGGGACGTTCGCCAACGTCTTCGGAGCAGAAAGCGCGTAATTTCGTAAGCCGGTCGTCGGGATTCATGGCCTACGGGACCCATCCGGGAGGAGGTCGGAGTTCGACGTGAGTATTGAATAATCATTCATGAAATTTTCCCAATTTTCTGTAGTTTTTATCGGCATGAATCGTTGGAAACAAAACAGATTGAAGAGACCATTGTCCTATGTGTTGAAATGTACATTATATCTAATTAAGATGGTTTGAAGCTTATTTTATAAAAAGTAATCAAAGAACCAAACTCTTCAAAAAGGTTTTTTGGTTTCTTCTGTGGATTGGTGAATGATTAGAAACCTTTTCCAAAACAAAAATCAACTGCAAATTGACTGTATTTACTATTTTTACGCGAATCAAAGCTACTAATCATAGAACCCACTTCATAGGCTAACAGCACAGAACAGAAGGGGAAGTGCAAACAAAACTTGGTTCGTGTTTCTGCTCAACAAGCGATGTGATGTGGTAGCGTTCACTATCATAGCATGCTGCATATCTTACTATCATTGCACTTCGAAACTTTAACAGCACAAATATCAGCTTCTACGATACGTACCACAATGAAACTATTACTCCACGTTTGCTGTACTGCAGCATACATTAAGTAGCAATTTCTGGAGAAATGGGGCATTAATTTCCGAGATGTGTGTTATTTAAAAATTCTAAGTGGAAGTGCATGTATAGCCTACGTGGTGGCCATTTGTGGCCTCTAAAAGTAATCACCTTTACTGCAGGCGCTAGTGTTCGCCAATGAAAAGTGGAGCTACTTTCTGATCCGAAGTTCCACTTCTGTTCTGTGCTAGTTGAATCACTTAAATTTACGCCATGAATTCTTAGAACAAATTCAAAGGGGATTCTGAAATGAATTCATCGAAAATTCTGAAAATACTTCCAATGGTTTTCCTAGGAATATTCTAAAAGAATCTAAGGAAAATTTTAAGGTAATTCCAAGGAATATTCGAAGCGAATTTAATTACGAATTCCGAGGATAGTTCCAACAAAATGTGAAGGAAATTTCAAAGCAATTCCGAGGATATTCCGGTGATAATTTTTAGAAAATTCAAAAGAGAGTTCCAATGAAATCATGAGGAGCATTTCAAAGAATTAATGGGGATTCTGAGCGGAACTAAACAGGAATCCCTATGGTAAAGGGTGATACGGTCAAAATTTGGTCAATATCAACTTGACGTATTTCTTTCAATTCCGGAGTGATTTGAGATTTGGGCGTAATTGCATTTGTAAACAAACATGTCAATCACCGATTTCTCGCGAATAAAAGCTCAATCTCGAAAAGTAATAACACCATGAGATAGAGGAATGATTCCTCTATCATTTGGTATAGTTTGTTTGTGAGATTGAACTTTTATTCAAGAGAAATAAGTAATTGACGTGTTTGTTTACAAAAGCAATTACGCCCAAATCTCAAATCACTCCGGAATTTTGCATTTAAAAAACCTGAACACCCCTCATTTTGAAGGTGTGTGTGTGTAGAATGTTGCTCCTATTTTGATTTTGGAATTCACTCTTCAGTTGTCAAAATGCCGTCCAAGCAAGAAGAGCAGCGTATCAAAATTTTGCTCGCGCATCGCGAAAATCCGAGCTACTCGCACGCAAAGTTGGCAAAATCGCTAAAAGTTGCCAAATCAACCGTTACAAATGTAATTAAAGTGTTTGGGGAACGTTTGTCGACAGCCAGGAAGTCTGGATCGGGGGGAAATCGAAAACCGGAAGCCGCTGAGACGACAAAGAGAGTTGCCGGTAGTTTCAAGCGAAACCCTAACCTCTCTCTCCGAGATGCCGCAAATAAGCTGGGTGTATCGTCTACAACCGTGCATCGAGCCAAAAAACGAGCTGGACTATCGACTTACAAGAAGGTAGTGACTCCAAATCGCGATGATAAACAAAATACGACGGCCAAAGCGCGATCCCGGAGGCTGTACACGACGATGCTGACGAAGTTTGACTGCGTGGTAATGGACGACGAAACCTACGTCAAAGCCGACTACAAGCAGCTTCCGGGACAGGAGTTTTATACGGCAAAAGGAAGGGGAAAGGTAGCAGATGTTTTCAAGCACATGAAACTGTCAAAGTTCGCAAAGAAATATCTGGTTTGGCAAGCTATCTGTACCTGTGGCTTGAAAAGCAGCATTTTCATAGCTTCCGGGACTGTCAACCAAGAAATTTACGTGAAAGAGTGTTTGAATAAACGTCTGCTGCCTTTCCTGAAGAAACACGGTTGTTCCGTACTGTTTTGGCCGGATTTGGCATCTTGCCATTACGGTAAAAAGGCCATGGAGTGGTACGCCGCCAACAACGTGCAGGTGGTTCCCAAGGACAAGAACCCTCCCAACACGCCAGAGCTCCGCCCAATTGAGAAATACTGGGCTATTGTCAAGCGGAACCTAAAGAAGACCAAAAAAACTGCTAAGGGCGAGCAGCAGTTCAAGGCAAACTGGCTTTCTGCGGTGAAGAAGGTGGACAAGGTGGCTGTACAAAATCTGATGGCAGGGGTCAAGCGTAAGGCCCGGCAATTCGGATTTGGAAAAGCGGAAGCCTAACTGAATATTTTTCCTGAATTTTATACTAATTGAACTTGAAAAAGAAATTTAATTTGATTTTTTAAATAAACGATTTCACCGATTTACACGCGTTTTCCCTTGACCAAATTTTGACCGTATCACCCTTTAATTCCATGGGAATTTTAGGAGAATACTAAGTGAATGCTGAGGAGAACTCCAATGATTTTCGGGGAATTGCTAAGAGATCATTTCAGAGTGAATTCAAAAAGTGTTGTGCAGAAGATTTTAAAGAGTATTATGAAGCCAATTATAAGGGAATTCCATTTTTGCATAAACAAATGTTGCGCCAACTCAGAAAAAAAAATCAAGATTCAAGATCTCGGAGTAAAAAACTAAAAATTCTGTGGGTTTCATTTGTTTTTGATTTCATGCTTAGAAATTGTATGATCCTAGATTTAGAAACATCTTCAAAATTCAGGAAATTTTATTTAAAAATAAATATTCCAGACAAGGGAACATTTCCAAAATAAGGGATCATTAGATTTTTTCAAGTTCCAAAGCTAGCAACTATATTTGAAATGAAGAACTTTGATTTTTTTTTCACATTGCGAACTTGCAAACTTGCAAACTTTTCAAGATCTTGGACTCCGAAGTAAAAAATGTATGAAATTAGATCTGTCAAAATGAGTTTGATAGCGATTTGTCATGTATTTTCCTCGGATTTTCACTAACACGCTCTCATATATCGCACCAATACAACCGGGCGTGAAAATCTCAATATTGCTGACTACCGGCGATTGTCAACGGCCAATTCCGATGTTATGGAAAAGCCTTCACCTATCACAAGGTGATGAGACGTTTCTCAGTGGAACTGACAGCTAGAAATCAAGAGTGTGTGAGTGATCTGGTGTTAATGGTGCTGAATGTAAACATAAACAAAGCAGAAATTAATATGAGAGTGAACAGTGATCTGTCAAAAGTTCTTGGCAAACAAAAAAGTCAGCTGATCGCAACTGTCTCGTGGACAGCCTTAAGGCCCCCACATTAGATCCGTTTGCGTTGCGTTGACGTAAATTTGACAGTTAAACAATAGATTTAGCTGTCACTTTGCCGCAACGCGTCAGATCCGGATCTAATGTGCGTGGGCCTTTATTGTGCCACAATACGGACGGAGCGGTTCGAAAACTTTGGTGACGAACCTGCTATTGCAATTTTTCAGTGTACCACATGGCAACACTACTACCAACAATCAACACGAAACTAACGATCAGCGCTGCCATTTATACAGATTTATCTGTATTATACAGATTTTTTAATCTTAATACAGACCCGATACAGAATACAGATTTATCACAGATTTTTAAATTACAATACAGATTTATACAGATTTTTATAAAATGCTTGAGAAAAAAATTCAAAATTTATAAAAACAAAATAACTTGCTCGATTTTATCAGCGTACCCCCTTCTCTCCAAAATTAATTGTTGTGCTAAAAACCATATTTTTTGCAGTGGGATCTGCTCGAGGCGTTGCTGTTTCTTTTATGCTTCTCTCACTCCCTCCAACGGAAAACGCAGTCACGCCCGTTCACAACCAGAGGACCAACCGCTTTCGGATGCATATGGAGCTGGTGGTAAACGATTGTGAGATTGTATGGGGATTTACAGTATTAATTGAATATTTCCAATATAAGCATGTATGTTAAATACAAGAAAAGTGCCCGAGCACATTAAAATGGGACAAATACAAGAACTCGTAAACATTTTACTTGCATTGAAAATGTATTTCGTAAGAAATTGCGGATTTTCTGATATTCTCCATACTGCAAAAATGATTTTACCAGCACTGGCGGGCGACATCTCTCGACTTTTCGGTGTAACTACCACACAAATGATGTAATTAATTGTATTCATCTATATTAAAAATATCAAATAGTAATGAACTCGTGCACTTTTTTGCATTTAAAACTGCTTATCAGGAAGATAATGAATAGAAACTAAAATCTCCATACATTTTCAAACGGCTTCATATCACTCTTATAAATAAGTACGGACGATATCACAAATGGCGCAATTATATCCCGTATGGTTAGTACGATAGCCCGAATAAGTGGTTAAGCACTTTTTATGGTTATTTTGTACAGATTTTTTAATAGAGTGGATACAGATTTTTTATAAAACCACCTGGCAGCTCTGCTAACGATTTTAAATTGGCTCACTACTTGACTAGCCTATTGGTCCCAAGCAAATTGATTAACGTATCCCATTCTAGTATAAATTGTTTGTTGTTTTGTTTTGATTCGCTATGAAAGTTTGACAGATAAAATGAGGGGTTCGTGGATTTTCCTATGTTTCGAGGGGTGCATCGATTAGCTTGGGAACGAATAGAGTACCAGAGCTGAGCCAAAATGTTGAGCACGTTTCCTCGGGACCTTCTAGCACAAACGAAGTGACAGACGGAGCGGCTCGAAAACTTTGGTGACTAACCTGCTATTTCAATTTTTTAGTGTACCACATGGCAACACTACTACTGGATTGTACTAGTATTTCCACAAAATGTACAAGAATGTTTTGGTTCTATTTCTTTCACTCTACTCAAAACTGAAATGCATAAAAAAAATGACTCTTTGCACACTGTCAAAGATCATTGCACACAAAATCAACTATGATCAAATCAAAACAAAAATACCAGCCCATTTGGTGGCTGATGACACAAGCTTCTAAGAAAATTCTATCACTGTAAACCACGTTATTTTAATTGATTTCTTCGCCGACTAACTGTCTGTCACTTCGTGTGTGGTTCTACCGTTACTACAATCATATTGCAAACTAGGAAAGATTTCACTTTTTGCAAGGGATCAACTTCAAAGTTCCTCGTAATTTCCGAGGAGAATTCCTTCACGGCGAATGAAAACGACTCAAATTTGAGTTTAGTTCACTCATAATCGCCAAAAGTGCAGGAACTCAGCGATGTGTAAAATTTGTCTCATGGTTTCCTGTGGAAAACCTAAAAAATCTGGCGGAAAATGAGGAAATTGTCGAAAATTTTATTCTGTCTCGGAGTAGTATCAATAGACTGAGTGAATCCAATCTTTACTTTTCTCAAATTCGGGAATTTTTCCCTGGAAAGTCCTGGAAAAACCTGGGAAAACATGAGGCAAATTTACTCATCGCTGAGTTCCTGCACTTTTGGCGATTATGAGTGAACTAAACTCAAATTTGAGTCGTTCTCATTCGCCGTAACATGACGTAAAATCTTATGGGGGGAGGAGAATCTGCTGATATTGTGACCGGTTATGTATTAAGTTTAGCAAAAAAGGGGGAGATCGGGTCCTAAATTGGTAAAAAAATATGCTACGTCATTTATGGTTGGTTACTTAACGACGTATTCGAGGTATCATCCAGATTATTTGTTGATTAATTTTACCATTCGGGATATCTTCGTATCGCAACTCACTCGCAACTTCGGATTAGTGATCCTAGGATAGGTTGTAGGTCATTTGGCCTAAAGTAGTTTGGCATAAGGCCGTTTGGTATCATGGCCATTTGGCATAACGTTATTTGTCGATTGGCTTATGGTCGTTTAGCATAATGCATAATATTATGGATTAAAAAAACAGTGAAGGTTTTCCTTCATGAGTTTTAATGTGCTTGATTTTACGACTTTAGGTCAAACGTGGCGCAATCGTCCTAGGGCAATACGCACCAAAAATCATAAAAAACGGTATGTTTATTATCTTCTAAATTTCTTTTTTTTTTTGTCTTCTAATTTTTCCATTATTTAGGCTGCCGGAACCTGGTCCTTCAACATCACAGCCGCAGCAGCAGCATCAACGTCTCCGACAGTACCACAGTCCTCAGCAGTCGCACTCGCCCATTCCTGCACAGAGGCACTTCCGCACGTGTCAGCACCATGGTGCACTAGATGGTGGATTTTCTCCTAGTGGCCGCCGATGGAACATGGTTCCGCGAACACCGCGTCAGGATGCCAGCATGATGCGACCGACGCCATTATTGTCGACGAACTATCCGGCCGCGGGTCATTCCCAGGATATGCATCGTTCCACGGTGGACGGAGGAACGGCTGGCACTGCTTCCGGTGGAATTGTTGATAATGCGACTAATAGCAATGCTGGTACGGTTATTGACAACACCAGCAGCGGTAGTTTTAGTCGCATGAATCCGTTCTTCGGATACGACTTTTTGGATCGGGAACAACAGACGATGAACTCAAGTGTCGGGAACTCCTCAAGTGGCAGACGATGGAATCCACGTGGCGAGGACGTTAGTAGGTGCAGTGGAGACGCAAACGAGCAAAGATTGGGTGGTGCTCATGCGCCGGTTGATACCCCCATTGATTATTCTAATAGGTTGGGTCCGACCGGTAGAGACTATGATGGAGCAAACAGTCGTAGATTCAACGACGACAACAACAATCAATCCGGATACGAATCCGGACGACAGGCACCACCTCCAGCAGGAAGCAGTCAACCAGAATCACGAGGCTACCGCAATTATAGCTATTCGAATCGGAATCGTTACCTGCACTCAGGTGGAGTTCGACCGCCTTATGCGGTTCACGAAAATCTTTGGAATCGGCAACACAATATGCAAGAGGCTCATCGGCGCATCATGATGATGGGAGATGTTCTTAATGATTATAACGAACGCTCATCGCCTCACCACGGAGCGTTGCGGTCGAGAAATAATCTGATCAATTCTTCGTACAACAGTGGATCTGGATCTAACGCTGCTCATTCCGGCGGTGCTGGCCCTAGTGGATCCGGTACAAGAGGAGAACTCTTCGATGATGGCGGACCGTACTGGTCTGATCGCAATTTTATTCCCCATTCGGGCGGCCACAGCTATCAGCAAGATCTGCGTGTGTTCAACCATCGACCGAGGAGAGTCTCGTACCATACCACCGTATATCCACCAATGAGGTAAGTCAAGGATGGGATTTGAGAATGTTTAATCAAGAGATGTGTAACCATGTCTTTTATTTCCCAGGCGAAACGATCACCAACATGTCCATCATCACATGTACCATCACTTCCAACCGCAAGCTATTCTGAACAACGCACCTCAAGTTCACTTCAGCATAGGGGTAAGATACAGAACATAGTAGGGGTATTCACATAGCGCATCGTAAACATTAACACTATCGTAAATATACCAGGGTCCCCTTAAGTGTAATCTACCATGCTTACGAGGCGCTATGCAAATTCCCCTAGTGTTCTTTTGAAAATCGCACATTTTTGACTTTCGTAATTCATTCCAATGCGTTACAGCTTCGCCCGAGTCTACTATCTAGCCTGAATCGCTTCGTGCGCGTTATTGAGGATACGTGTTCCAATCGGGGGGCCACACAGGTTTGATTTGAACAATCCATGACGCCATGTAGGCGGGAAATAATGAAACACACGTCTTTTGCTCTCCGTTACAGGAAATGATCGAACACAACACGTTCCCACACAAGTACAAACGATTACGTCGTGCCAGTGAGACGGATGAGGATAGCGAAAAGTGTACCATCTGTTTGTCTCAGTTTGAAGTCGACAACGACGTAAGGTGGGTTGGAATATTGTACACACACACACATTTGATTGTATGGTTGCAATTCTGATAGCATTTCATTATAGTCCTATAGTCTCATAAGTTACGTACCTATGTTTTTCCGACGTAAAACCTATTCAATCATACTGACCAAAAGACTTTCCGTTATCCAGGCGCCTCCCGTGTATGCATTTATTCCACAAGGACTGCGTCGACCAGTGGCTGGTGACCAACAAGCACTGTCCGATCTGTCGGGTCGACATCGAAGTGCACCTAACCAAAGATTACAGTATATGACGGCCGGATGGAGACGGTCAGGTTCGACCTCCCCGCAGGACGCGCATCGAAGTTTATGATTTCGATGAGACCAGCCGCCGCCATCATCAGCGTGATTCTCCGCCGTTGTATTTTGCTCCTTCGCATCAGCGCCTTCCGTCTTCATCGTACCACCGATCATCAGCGGTCTCATTCGGTGGCGAAGATGATGGAACGTTTGTCTTTTTTCCCAGAGAGAGTTAGATTTTGTTATTTTGAAGGACAAGATTTTCGAGTCCTGAGGCTGGAATACTAGCGTTTGTGATGCATCTCTATAAATTTCCGTTTTTTTTTTCGATAGCGAATTCCATTCATTTTTTTTCTTTCGGTTATGTTATCAAAATTATCATTTTGCTAAGAAAAATGCAGCGAATTTCGAATTTTTTGTTTTGCTTTTTTGTGATTTTCTATGTTAAGAGTATAAGCAGGAGTGATAAAATCAAAAATGACTGTATGCAGATTAAAGAATATTTTGTCGTATTGCTCGGAAATATGTTATTTAAAATCACATGTATGAAATGCTGATAATAAACTTCTTTTTTCCATGTTAATAATTATGTTGCTGTCTTCTTAATTCACAGTTGCCAAAAAAAAGGGAGGCCACTGTACTACCCATAATCGCATATCAGTGCATTATCGAAAAAAATAAATAACCAAAGATGGAACTGATATGCGATTATGGACAGTGTAATAGTACGTTCAGACTACGGAGTTATAACATGTTATAGCGCTATCTTGATGGTGGTTTCTGTGTTGCAATTAGTTGACAATCGTTATAACATGTTATAACTCTCCAGTCTGGACAGCGCCTAATGCTGTTATACGTATACAATTCACACAGCCCATGGTAAAAGTAATCGAGATATAATAAAAATGGCCATTTCGTTGCTTGATGGATATTATATACACTATACACTAGACTGATGCAAATTTTGACATTTTGCTCCACAGTGTTCATACGGTTTAAAATCCCCTGCGCTTCGGTCAGAGAGCGTATAGGGCGTCGTTGTGCCAATTTGGTCGTGGCACATTTCGAGTATGAGAGAGTAATTGCAGTTAGATCAAAAGTGCCTGAGAAAAATGCAAGTACTTTCGCAGATTACCCGAAGTTGCGATAGTGAAGGTATGATCACAGAAAAGCAGACATAACACTCTTAAAACGTTCATCAAAATCGTTTTTAACGGTCAATTTAAATGTTTCTTAGTTGGTAGTACTGCCATTTGTGGTGCACATTCCCTAGCGTTTGACGTTTACACACTACAACCATCTGTTGAGTGTATTGCCCATCAAAGTATATACGACAGATGTCGGTAGGGTTTACAATTATAAATGTTCAATGTGTTGTGTCTGCTTGTCTGTGATATAACATTGAGGTAACGTTAGGATAAATTCAAAACATTGAGAAATATTACACATCACTTTCAGAAATACTTCACTTCGCAACCGATGAACCATTCTGACGGCCATACGAGTACCCAAGTAACCATATAGTCGCAATATAGCTTGTATATTCTTACTTTGCTTGAGTATGGTTACTTGGGGAATCTGATGAAACTGTCACTTCTTGAAACTTATCCCTTTCGTATTTCTTTCATTCTCCTTTCGCAAACGGAGCACTCGATGGACCAGTGAATTTGGACGTGAGCCTCGTCCCAGATCACCATGGCAATTCAAACCGACCAAAAAAGGCGGAATCATATTAGAGCCAACCAACCAAGGACGGTCTACGGAAGGAAATTGCCGGTGAAGCACGGAATGAAATACGAAGCGTTAGAGAAAAAGATCAAGGGATTCCAAAAGAAGCAAATAACGACGGCGGAAGAGCAGAATATGGTGAGAGCTTTCCATTTATTTAAAAAAAATATATCAAAATTACACTAAATACATGCCAGGGTTGAAAAGAATATTTTCGAACCTGGAAGTGTGTATGTATCACCAATATCCATTTGATAACGGTGATGCATACATGCGGGGCTTATTGTGAGTGAAAGTAACCTCGGAATGGGCGTGACTCTCCAGACATTCTGAAATGGGCTGCTGGATCTGCAATAGAGCTATCACCTTCTAACTCCCGGACTAAAGCTGTCTACCATGACCATAAATGCGACATTGTAGAGAGAGTTCTTCCATAATAACACTGCCGGCCAGTGGGGGTTAGAGGGAATTCACACACACACACACACACACACCACACCATAGTAAATTTCCCGAGACATCATCATCAGACTGTAAGTATTATTGATAATCATTATAACTAAATGAAACATAAATGCATATTCATCAGCACTCATTCTCTACCAATTCTGTTTTTCAATACCTTTTTCTCTCCTTTCTCTTATCCTTCATCTATGCATCTACGCTTCTATGTTAAGGATCACCTAAACCCTCATTCAATATTCGGCTGATTTCAATCGACTCGCATAAGTCATTATCTAAGAGCCATCTCATCTTTATCTATCTGATTGCTGCATGGAAGGTGTATAAAGGGCGAACACGAAATTATTGCGACACATTCAACAGGGCATAACTAAAGCCCTACAGTAAAAGTATGGACGTCTGTCAAAAGTTGTTCCAATCGAACCGTCAAAATGCACCGCTTTGCTCGATTGGAACAGCTTTTTTCAGTTTTGTGGTGACAGTCGTCCATACTTTTACTGTAGGGCTTTAGGCATAACTTTTTACCATTCGGTAAAAATCAACCAAATTTTGCACACTTTCTCATTGATGTGTATTGTGTACATGCTGTCAAACTCGAAGTCGTGCTTTTCGATTCAACAAAAATGGAGGTGAACCAACGCGAGTTGAGAGAACAAATTCTTTCCAAACACCTGGAATTTCCTGACCTGTCGCACCGGCAGTTGGGAAAAATGTTGAACATTCACCATTCAACCGTCTCCAGAGTGTTGAAGCGGTTCCAGGAGCGGTTGCCGTTGGACCACGGCAAAGGAGCTGGAAGAAAACCGGGACCGGAGAACAAAAAGACGGAGGGAAAGGTGAAGCGGATGATTAAAGCAAATCCCAACGTCTCAAGCCGTGATTTGGCTAAAAAGATCGGCATGTCGCAGAGCTACGTCCAGAATGCAAAGAAGAGAGCTGGACTACATACATACAAGATACAGAACTTCCCAAACCGCGATGAGCGGCAACAATCGACGGCTAAAACTCGGGCACGGAAGCTCTACGAGAATATGCTGACAAAATATGGCTGCTGTGTGATGGACGACGAAACGTATATAAAAGCCGATTTTAAGCAAATTCCGCGGTTGGAGTTTTTCACCGGCAAGAGCAAGTTCGATGTGGACGACAAATTTAAGAAGAAGAAAATGTCGAAGTTCGCCTCCAAATATCTCATTTGGCAGGCCATCTGCTCTTGCGGACTGAGGAGTGAGCCTTTCGTGACAAAGGGCACAGTAAATGGCGAGATCTACAAATCTGAGTGTCTCGAGAAGCGCCTTTTGCCGTTCTTGCAGCAGCACGACGAAGCTCCGCTATTTTGGCCAGATTTGGCATCATGCCACTATTCTAAAAGTGTCCTGGAGTGGTATGAGGCCAATTCTGTCCATTTTGTTCCAAAGGACATGAATCCGCCAAACTGTCCGGAGCTGCGCCCGGTGGAGCAGTACTGGGCAATAATGAAGCGGGAACTTCGGAAGAGCAAGAAGACAGTCAAAGACGAGAAGGACATGTTAAGAAAATGGAAAAAAAAAACTGAGAAACTGGTACCGGATGACACTGTAAAGACTTTGATGGAGGGCATCAAGCGAAAATGCATTCAATTTTACACTCAAGGCTCCATCGATTAACTTTTCTTTTGATTTTTGAAGTAAATATATGTATAAAACTACCCTAAAATTTTAGTTTGATTCTAAACATTATAAGAAAATTGGCATGACATTTTCGGTGTCGCAATAATTTCGTGTTCGCCCTTTAATTGGTCACCAAAATTACACTGGCGACCAGGCTCAATGCCCCCTCCAGCATGACACAATAACAATAACAATAACAGTGTTCATACGGTTTAAAATCGGGACTTGACTAGCCTCCCAAAATTTGAACTCATTCGATAAGAAACTGACTTGGCACAAACCATTTGAAGTTTATATGGGAATTACTATGGGAAAACTTATGTTTTTGTTCATATCTATCTAACAATTCACCACATGACCATGCTTTTGAAAATGATTGCAGTGATTGTAGAAAATTTTCTCAGCTACAACTTTGTTCAAACCCACTTTTCAATCAAATGTAAGGAACAAAAGTTATTAATGATTCAAGTCACTGATGTCTTATGATTATGCTCATTCAACTGTTCAGCAGGCAACATTGGTGTTTCTGGCGCTTAGAATAAAGCACAAAAATCATGGCTACTATGTCACACTGCAAGATACAGTGTTGCTCACAAAACAGCTGCTTGATCATGCCATAAGATTATCAATCTCTTAAACAATTAATAACTATTTTATTTGACTTTTAGCTCAACAACTATATTCTGCTAAGTTGTAGCTGAGTAAATTTTCCATAGGTATAGCTTTTGAATTTTTAAACAGTGCAATATGGAAAAAGGTAAGAAGACAATGAACAAAAAGTTTCGCTTTCCCATAGTAATTTCCATATAAACTTCAAATGGTTTGTGCCAAGTCAGTTTCTTTTCAAAGGAGTTCAAATGTTGGGAGGCTAATCAGGACCCGATTTGGAACGGTTTGAGCACTGTGGAGCGAAAATGTCAAAATTTGCATCAGTCTACTATACACTGTAGTTATACGCATAACTGTCCCATGTTCTATTCACTCGCATACACCAAATTTATTAAATCTTGTTCGGTACTTTTTTGGCTGGATTCGTTTTGTAAAATATAATTGGTGAGAGGTAACTCCATAGAGGTAACTCTAAGACCACTGGGTCCTGAAGAAAATCATTATTATTTTTGGCTCACTCAGTACCAGAACAACGGTCCCAAGCAGTCCCAAGCTATTTCACTCACCCCTGCATGTTCTGCATGAATCCACACACCCCTGATGTTATCTGTCAAACTTTCATAGCGAATCAAATCAAACATAGTGTAGTAATAGAATTTCAACTAGAATAGGGTTCGTTAATCGTTTGCTTGGGACCAATAGGCTACTAAAGTGGTGAGCCAATTTAAAATCGTTAGTTTCGTATTGATTGTTGGTACAATCCAGTAGTAGTGGTGTTGCCATGTGGTACACTGAAAAATTGAAATAGCAGGTTAGTCACCAAAGTTTTCGAGCCGCTCCGTCTGTCACTTCGTTTGTGACGAAACTATCGATTTTAAGTTGGCTCACTACTAGACTAGCCTATTGATCCCAAGCAAATCGATTAACGTACCCCATTCTAGTACTACACAATGTTTGTTTTGATTTGCTATGAAAGTTTGACAGATAAAATGAGGGGTTCATGGATTTTCCTATTATTTCGAGGGGTGCAGCGATTTGCTTGGGACCGAAGACAGTACCAGAGCTGAGTCAAAAAGTTGAGCACGTTTCTTCGGGACCTACTAGTCTTAGAGTTACCTCTATGCTACCAACAATGAAAACGAAACTAACGATTTTAAATAGGCTCATTCCTTGACTAGCCTATTGGTTCCAAGCAAACGATTAACGTACCTCATTCTAGTCGAAATTCTAGTACTACACAATGTTTGTTTTGATTCGCTATGAAAGTTTGACAGATAAAATGAGGGGTTAGTGGATTTTCCTATGTTTCGAAGGGTGAATCGATTAGCTTGGGACCGAAGAGAGTACCAGAGCTGAGCCTAAAAGTTGAGCACGTTTCTTTGGGGCCTTCTAGTCTAAGAGTTACCTCTATGATGCTACCATAGAGGTAACTCTAAGACCACTGGGTCCCAAAGAAAATCATTATTATTTTTGGCTCACTCAGTACCAGAACAACGGTCCCAAGCAGTCCCAAGCTATTTCACTCACCCTTGCATGTTCTGCATGAATCCACACACCCCTGATGTTATCTGTCAAACTTTCATAGCGAATCAAAACAAACATAGTGTAGTAATAGAATTTCAACTAGAATAGGGTACGTTAATCGTTTACTTGGGACCAATAGGCTACTAAAGTGGTGAGCCAATTTAAAATCGTTAGTTTCGTATTGATTGTTGATGCTACTACGCTACTACCATAGAGGTAACTCTAAGACTAGTAGGTCCCGAAGAAAATCATTATTATTTTTGGCTCACTCAGTACCAGAACAACGGTCCCAAGCAGTCCCAAGCTATTTCACTCACCCCTGCATGTTCTGCATGAATCCACACACCCCTGATGTTATCTGTCAAACTTTCATAGCGAATCAAAACAAACATAGTGTAGTAATAGAATTTCAACTAGAATAGGGCACGTTAATCGTTTGCTTGGGACCAATAGGCTACTAAAGTGGTGAGCCAATTTAAAATCGTTAGTTTCGTATTGATTGTTGCTACTACTATAGATTGTACTAGTATTTTCACCAAATGTACTAGAATGTTTTGGTTATATCTCTTTCACTTTAACAAAACCGAAATGTATAAAAAAAATGACAAAATGATACACTCTTTGCACACTGTCAAAGATCATTGCACACAAAATCAACTATGTTCAATCAAAACAAAAATACCAGTCCATCTGGTGGCTAATAGCACAAGCTTCTAAGAAAATTCTATTGCAGTGTACCACGCTATTTTAATTGATTCCTTCGCCAGTTAGGCGTCTGTCACTTCGTTTGTGGTACAAGGTTTGTATACAAATTAGCGAAAATGTACTGTAAAATGTTGCTCTCACGGAGAAACGAAAGAACTCAAAATTGACATAGAAATTACTTAAAAATAAGTTTTCCCCTAACACTACTGTTTTGGATACAATTCTATTCTCATTGATAAGTACTTTTAACTTAATCATGAAGTAAAACTAAAACAGTTACTTTTACTTTAATACTCGATTTTGAGTTGTTTAGTTTTCCAAGCTGCGATTGCAGTTGATTTTGGATGAAAATTTGTAACGTTTATGCTACATGTTTATTTCGGTTTGTCGGCTGGCAAAAGCTCAGGCGAAAAAAGCAATTTCTCAATCGTTTAAATTGGTGAAATTCGTATCTAAAACCATACAAAAGAAGGTATGTAGTAAATTTATAAAGTTAATTAGTTAAGTAATATTAGGGAACCTACGAAGAAGTGAAGTAGATATGTCTGGAACCTGTATAGAGCCATACGTCATCCTTGCTCCATACATCGAGTCAAGGAAGAAGGTCAATTATAAGCGGAACGGCCTCCACCAACCAGCTGATGATGCCACAGTCAGTGAAGTGCACCATCACCCAGCATCTGAGGGCAGTGGATCAGTGCAAGTAAGAATATTTTAGTTTTTCGACCCTGCTTTGTGTTCTTAGTAAGAACTTCTTACCTCGGTTATTACCATATAATTGCAGTGTGATTTGGATGAGAAGAACAGCTGCATTCTGGGAAGCCAAGAGTAGATCCAACGGGAAACGAGATTGCTTGGGACTTGTTTTCACCAACCTGGTAGATGCTTAAATAAATGCAACGGATCTCGCCTTACAAAATAATCAATGACCCGGAAACTGTTGAGTAGCTCGAAGCTTTTTTTTTATAAACCTCTACTTTTTTGTAATGTCAACACTACCTCTCTGCCCCACGCTGTACCCCTATGTTAATAAATAAATCTACTGTATTATTTTTTATACGCAAGCGATATATGATATCACTGATAAAATTTCAAAGATTGTTTTTATGTGTCCCACACATGAATTTTTGCAATGTGATCAACAAATGATATTTATGTGTCGGACACATACTTAATATGTGTACACATAAAAGCCATGTGTCGAACACATACTTAATATGTGTACACATAAAAGCCATGTGTAACCATACATACTATTTACTTGAATCATAAATTTCATGTGTGGATTCTGTTTATGTGTGGTCACATGAAAATCATGTGGAATTTCACATGGAAATTCGTCAATAAAAATGTGTGGAATTTTATTAGTGTAGGTTTATGGCAGAACAATATTTGTTTTCAATATTATTTTAAAATGAGGACCCAGTTTTAGGTACTTTTCACCGAATGTACACTCCTAATGAAACAGTTATATTTAACTCAATGCGAAGTCTTATTAAAATACTTAAATTTGAATACTTCGCAAAGAACTCAATTTTGACTCGTTGCACTTAGCTGTCCAGATGAGTACAAAAGACTTAATTTTGAGTTCTTTCAATTCTCCGTGAGCTGACTCTGCATTTTTCACGAATCACCCCCCATCATGACATTTGCCTGTTCCCACCTTTCCATCACGCGCTCTGCATGTACGAACCTTGGCACCATTTTGCCGTAAACAAAAAATGCATACGACCGCAGCCAGAATATCGAGAAGCGTCCGCCGCCGTCGTGCAAGTGTTGTGTTTGGTGACGAGTACCGAGAAAATTAGAAATTTCCCCAGAAAATGGTCTCGCTTGGACCTAAAAAAGACGGTGGTCCAAATGCCGAGTTCTTCACGGCACCGGAATCACTGCAAGGGTTCGAAACGGTGCGACAATGGCTGCAGAAAAACTTCAAAAAGGTTAGTACATTCTTCTGAAGCCGTGGTCTAACCTGACGGATGCCGCTGTGGAAAATGAGCCATCTTGATTTTTCTGTGCACCGACTGCTAATGAGAAAAAAAAAATAGTTTTTTGATGTTTGAAATGAATAAAACTCAAGGAAATCGTTCCGGTTCCGGTTGTTGAGATGGTGATTGTGAGCGAAAAAGAAGTTGGTTGGAAATACATCACGGCCATTTTTGACATTGGCAGGGATTGGAAGGCGGCGATATCCTGTGAGATGAAATTACTACTCATATCATTTTGCGTAATTTCAGTACTTGGCTCCTGATCCTCCGACAAAGGAATCATTAGCGCAATTAGTAGTACAGTTTGTGCAGTACCAGGAGACCAAACTAGGAAAAAATGCGCAGGATCCACCCACTACTAGGTTGCCGGTAAGTGTTTCCCAAACTAAGAACAGCTTGTGGTCAGTGGTAAAGTTCTTACTTTTTGCGCAGATGCGATGTTTTATGGATTTTAAACCGGGTGGATCGCTGTGTCATATTCTGGCTACGATGTACCGTTACAAGGCTGAACAGCGCTGGCGGAAATTCGATTTTACCGTAAACAAGGTAAGCATGTTCCACGCCCGGTGCTAATTCCCTTTTGATCAAATGTTCCACCCTTTCAGAACCCTATGCGTAAGGACCCCATTATACAGATGCTGCTTGACATGGAGACGGCTCTAATCGAAGCTGAATGCATGCGGCTACCGATCGTTTACGTTAGGCCCGAAGTGGACAAGGCTACCGCTAATCGAATATCGGACATTGTCACCAATCATCAGGGTGAGATGACGCTGGACGAGGAGGAGGCGACGCATATCATCTATCCGGCGGTGGATCCCTTGCCGGAGGATTATGCAAGGCCTACATTCCGCCGGGATAAGCATGTGATGATTCATTGGTATTACTTTCCGGATTCGTACGATACCTGGGTACCGAATACGTTTGATTTGCCGGAGGCCGTACCGGATTCTCCGATGTCACCGGGTGACCGTTGGCGTGTTTCGCTTTCGTGGGTAACCGATCTGGAAGAGTACAACGAATGGATGGCAGAAGAAGATTACGAAGTAGATGAAGCCGGTCGTAAAAAGGTCCACAAACTGCGACTCGGTGTGGAGGATCTGATGGCCGGTGGATCGGACGATAAAGTGAAGAAAGCTAAAGTTGTTCATCAGAAGCGCAAACGATCGCCTTCTCCGCAGGCAAAGGGTGGTAAACGGAAGAGCGGCCGGTCACCGGCCGTATTCCAAAAAAAGCCTCGTGCCGATGACGAAGAATCGGAAGATCTGACAAAGGATATGGACGACCCTCAGCCGGAAACTAATCTGACTGAGGTGAAGGCTGGTTCGAGCAATTCTGCTTCAGGTCCGGCCACCCCACAGCCCAAGAGAGATCCGGAAATGATGCCTATAAAATATGCAACAATGACGGATCTGGATGACGACATTGACAGAGCTAATGCGGATCGCACGGGAGATGATAGTCAAGCTGGCAAAACCAGCGACAACAGCAATACTCAGGAGTTCCCTCACAACAAGGACGACCTGGAGGATAATGTTACCGAGCAGACGCATCATATTATAGTTCCATCCTATTCGGCTTGGTTCGATTACAATTCGATTCATGTGGTTGAGAAGCGTGCCCTCCCGGAGTTCTTCAATGGGAAAAACAAGTCGAAAACTCCGGAAATCTACCTTGCTTATCGTAATTTTATGATCGATACCTATCGGCTGAACCCAACGGAGTACTTGACCAGCACTGCTTGCCGAAGAAATTTGGCAGGAGACGTCTGCGCTATTATGCGTGTTCATGCTTTTCTTGAACAGTGGGGATTGATCAACTACCAGATCGATGCTGATTCACGTCCTACTCCAATGGGTCCTCCACCAACTTCACATTTCCACGTTCTGAGCGATACCCCATCCGGATTGCAACCGCTCAATCCTCCGAAAACCGCTCAACCATCGGCTGCTAAAAATCTGCTTGATTTGGACAAGAAGCCAGACAAAAAGGATGACCCAGCTACTCCTGGAGCCATACCAGGAGCAACGGGAGCTCCCTCCGGTGGCATGTTGGACGGAATAAAAACCGAACCGGGAACGATCACCGCAGATCCCAACGGCCAATTCGGTCTTCGATTGGATCAGTACGTCAAGAAACCGTCTGCCATGCGGAACAAGACCGCTGCAAGCATGTCCCGCGATTGGTCCGAACAGGAGACACTTCTTTTGCTCGAGGGTCTGGAAATGTACAAGGATGATTGGAACAAGGTGTGCGAGCATGTTGGATCTCGTACCCAGGACGAGTGTATTCTGCACTTCCTGAGACTTCCAATCGAGGATCCCTATCTGGAGGATGATAATACGTATCTGGGACCGTTGTCCTACCAGCCGATTCCGTTCAGTAAAGCTGGCAATCCGATTATGTCGACGGTTGCGTTCCTGGCTTCGGTAGTAGATCCGAGGATTGCTGCCAGCGCTGCCAAGGCCGCAATGGAAGAGTTTGCCGCTATTAAGGTATGTGATCTTTGCAGTGGCGTCGCGTAACCTCACTTTTTACCTGTTCAATAACTTTGAAAACGTTATTTAGGATCATGTTTACATTCAAATCAATTTCAAAGGATACAGGGTCCTCTAGTTTGACTTATTTGTATCCATTTGAACCAATATTGTTTTGTTTGTTTACGTTTTGAGAGTTGTTGAACAGGTAGATTGAGGTTAGGGCGACGCCACTGGATCTTTGGGGTGAAAATATTTCGTTACTAAAGTCAACTGTTGTTATAGGACGAAGTCCCCGCTACGATGATGGATGCCCATCTGAAGAATGTGGAAAAGTCCAGTTTCGGAGGAAAGTTCGATCCGTACGCTGGGTTGGCAACAAGCGGCATTGCCGGTACTGGTCCTGACAAGGATAAGGAAGATGAGGAGAGCAAAGTCCCTGGAGCCGCTGGCACTGCCGGCACGGGTGCTCCAGCTACTCCGGGATCTGCTGATGTCGAGATGAAGGATGGTTCCAAGAAGGACGACGGTAAGATAGCCTCTATGCTGGAGCAGCATATATATTGGGGGTTATTCCGAGAGTCGAAGTGACTTTTGTCACTAGTGAAGTGAGAAAAGTCACGTCGTGGTGACGTGACTCTCTGTGCAAATCAAATGAAGAATCACGTCACCACGACGTGACTTTTCTCACTTCACTAGTGACAAAAGTCACTTCGACTCTCGGAATAACCCCCATTGTATTATTTTATTATTTCAACTTTCAATCTGCAAACTTTGTTTCTCTAAGCTTTTTCAAGGGTCTCATTTCCAATCTCTATTTGTTTTCGCTTCTCGTTTCATTGTTTGGCTGCGGCTGTGTGCTCTACTTATTTCATTTTTCTTTGCTTGGGGGTTTGTGATTTTATTGTTGTTTGGTCTCCCTAAGACAAAGATAACCAATCTGATAAAACAGAGAATTCTTCTCAAGAAGATGATACTAAAACGTCTGATTCTAATGCTGCGGCAGGATGCGATCAGCAAAAGTCAGAGGCCGGAGCAGAAGCCGACAAGGGTAAGGACAAGGAAGGATCTTCGGAGCTTGCCAAGGAGAATGGTGACCCGAAGGTATTTAACGAGGGAAATCTCCAATCGGCAGCAGCTGCTGCCTTGGCCGCGGCCGCCGTCAAAGCAAAACATTTGGCTGCCGTTGAAGAGAGGAAGATCAAGAGCTTGGTTGCTCTGCTGGTCGAAACACAGATGAAGAAACTGGAGATCAAGCTACGACACTTTGAAGAGCTCGAAACAACGATGGAGCGAGAGCGGGAAGGTTTGGAATACCAACGACAGCAGTTGATACAAGAACGGCAGCAGTTCCATTTGGAACAGCTGAAGGCAGCGGAATTCCGTGCTCGACAGCAGGCTCATCAGCGATTCCAGCTGGAACAAGGTCAGTGGCAGCAGCCTGCGATAGGTGGTGCTCCAGCAGCTGGCGTTACTCCTCCTCAGCAACAGCCTGCCCAAGGACCTCCGCAAGGCCCACCCGGACCAGGCCAGGCCCCTGGAACTAGTGAGTCTGATATTGAAATATGACTTCGCTGCCCACATTCATCGAACCATACTAACACTCGTCCTTTTGTTGCATTCTAGACCCTCAGCAGCAGCCACCAATGCCATCTACCGGGGGACAACCTGGAGCTCCAGTGCCGAACAGCGCCAGTACACCCAGCAGCAACGGAATTATCTCTGTTCCTCCTACTACGATGCCTATCGAAGGTTCTACGCAAAATAACATCATGCCCCCGACGGCACCTGGTCAACCGCCGTCCTTGCAGCATGTGCAGGGCCCTCCAGGTCCACCGCCGTTGCCGCCGACATTGCCACCACATCCGGGACATCCCGCAGCTGGTGCACCAATGCCTGGAGGTCCGCCTGGTGGTCCTCTTCTGCAGCAGCAGCCGCCGCCACCACCACCACCACCGGCGAATCCACATCATCCTCCAACAGGGCCAATGTCGCAACAGCAACCGCCCCTACCCCCACAGCAGGCCCCTCTGCCCCCTACCCAAGGACCACCTCCACCAGTACAGGCAGGGCTCGGAGGCGCTCCAATGCCCGTCGGACCCCCACAGGGTCCTCCCGGCCCACCTCCTTCCAGCGGTCCTATTCCTCCACCTTCTTCTTAAATCGCTGAAGTTTTGCAACCATTGTGACACAAAGGCTCTTAGGCGTATCCGTGCTAGCCTTTCTCTCAGTATATGACTTATATTTATCAAGCTCTGATAAGATTAATTGTAACATGCATTCGATTTTGCGACTAATTTCACTTTTGTCCACATTGTGTCCAACTGATTCAAGTTTTCCCATTTATCTTCGAAACATCGAGTGTTAATGTATTGCTACAATTAGGGCGAATAACATTTTCATCAGTAAGGACACTACTCCAAACAAGGGGTTGTCACTGATCAAGATGTCTTCACCCAATGTGAATCAGTGGCATAATTCCAACGATTCCGTTTCTACCGATTTTGGGGCCGATAGATGTATATTTAGTTTTTAAATTCTGTGGGAGTGCGACATTGATGCAGCATTATCTATACAGAGGATGGACCGCTCGGGATCCGTATAGACAGTAAGATTAATATATCTTTTATCCTAGGTGTAGAAAGTGTCGTTGCCTTTACTGGGAATAGATGTGAGAAATTATTTAGCAAAATCTTGATCGTTGGTTTAAAAAACTGTTTCCTTTTTTCTCAAAGTGATAATATTCAAGACAATGGTTTGATGATCTTTGTCCTCACCTCGTTGTAGTCGAAGACGGCTGCAGAAGTTGTACCTCCTGGTGTACACACTCAATCTAGCTCGGTAAAATCTCCAACAGCCTCGGCTCGTCTCGTATTACCTCGGCATTTACTTTTGCTGATTTATGTCTGCAAAATATGTGTACTACTTGGCTACTTGGTACTACTTGGCTGTTGGAATCTCGGCAAACCAAATTAAGTGTGCAGATGTAGACACAACTTTTCGGTCCGTCTCTTGTTTGTCAATCTACCATTTAAATAGTCAGTACTTATTTAAGCTTCTCAGTGTGTCAACTATTCTAGTTCAAAGGTATTATTGAAAATTCAACTGAGTAACATTGAAAAACAATTAGCATACTATTGATTTTAATAAAAAAAAAATTAGATGTGTTTGATAATATTTGACTTTTCGTTCTAGCACTTTACATAAATACATTTTTGCATCTAAAAACAACCAAAAAAACCTTCTGGGAAGTAAAGGCTTCGCAACAACTTGCCGGTCCAACCTACTTCGAGTTGCTTGTGCTGCTGTTCATTGATATGATGATATGATATGAAACTACCACTCACGACAACAACTGTCCGTAGACTGTGGGCTATCCTCGATGCTCGACTTGATCAAGTTTAATAACCTCTAATTGTACTCAACCTGCCATTGTATGAAGGGCCAAACACGGTTTGGATGAATCCTTGGGCAACATCGCCCACGTTCATCTTCGGGATAAATTAGAATCTCCTTCCAACTACAGGATATGAATTCTACAGTCCAACAAGATTCTGCCTGCTGCAAATATTTGCTGATTTTTTTTTTAACTTTTTACTTAACCCTTTCTAAGGCAGTTGTACTTCCTATACCATCAACGAACGATAACCCAAATGATAGAATTATTCCACAAATGGTTTGGATGATACCTCGAACGCGTCGTTAAGCAAAATAACCATACAAACTTTATTAGGGTTTATGTACCATTTGTATTCTTTTTCTCTTCACAAACAATAGCTTTACAATTATTATTTTTTGCGCAATGGCTTCATATGATATCTGGCAATACTTCTGATTTTTTTAGCCGGAACAAGTGTATAATGATGATTTAAGACCCATTTTTGTGTAAACAAATCGCCAGAAGAAAATAAGTTCAAATGCGTTGTCAATTAAACAAATTGGTAAGTTTTTCAATAGAATTTTACTAATTTGGACGTCCTTTGTTAGATTAAGTAGATTTTTAATAGATTGCTATGGAATTTTGTTCAAACTTTACAATTCTCTACCGTGAAAAATGCACTCATGCACGTGCATACGTTTTAGCTATAGGTATGTCGAACATACCGATTACAGAATCGGGTTACGAAATTGATAGGGAGCTGGAGAAGATTTGTGAACTACCTGACGATCCCGATGTGTATGAGGATGACCCGGAATTCGCACTGGAAGTGATGACTAATTTGGTACTACCAACGACGATGATACTGAACGGCACACATCCATAACTGAACCTCAACCATGTTCTTCTGGTCTCCTAAACTGTAAGGATTTCCGTACCGTAACCCGCATTGAAAACGACTACACTACTCATCATCAATTCGGGTTATCGTGCTCATCTTATATAATTTTTTTTGTATGTTTTCCTTGATTCGTTTTCCGTGCTGAGCACACCTGGACCCTACCTATTGACCCATCAACTCATGAACCGGGGACCAACGGCTTTATTCCCTTCCAAAGGAAGGCGTGATCAGAGATGTTATGTCTCAGAACATCTCGGCGACGCCGACTGGGATTGAACCCAGGCCTGCTGGGTTGAGAGGTAATCACGCTTACCACTACACCACCAGCGTCGCTACCTTATATAATATAGTTGAATCATATGTTATATCGTTTATTGATGGTACTGGTTTATTACGGAAGCCAACTACTCAAGCATTATCCGAAACATGAGAATCAGATGACGATCAACCAATCGAAGATGGTTCCCAAGTAGACCAATCAGACGATAATGGAATTCAATGAGCTACAGAGAGAGGTGAAGCAGATCGTGAAATATGGTTGCATTAGTAATCCAAAAAATCTATGCTATGCTACTACCATAGAGGTAAGACCAGAAGGTCCAGTAGAAACGTGCTCAACTTTTTGGCTAAGCTCTGGTACTCTCTTCGGTACCAAGCTAATCGATGCACCCCTCGAAACATAGGAAAATCCATGAATCACTAATTTTATCCGTCAAACTTTTTTTTTTATAATGCGTTTATTTTTCCAGGCTCTCTTGCTGTAGCTTTGCGGAGCCAATATTCATTGATTAGATTACAAAATTACTTAAAACTAACATGAAGCTTTAGTGTGATAATTTATTAGCTAGAGAATGATCTTTTATAGAAGAGGGTAGGTGGATAGTTCCGTTAGAGTACGGCAGTATGAAAATTGAATAGAAGTTTGAAAATGAGCGAAGGGCCATTAATGCGACAGTTTTTAAAGATAGACGCACATCTTTTGCCTAACCCGTAAGATGTACGCGGAGACTTGAAGTATGTCTCCAAGTCTACAGGCAAAGTAGACTTGGAGACATACTTCAAGTCTCCGCGTACATCGTACGGGTTAGGCAAAAGATGTGCGTCTATCTTTTTTTTATCTAGTTCGTTTATTTGGAAGGCTCAATCGCGTTAGCTTTACGGAGCCGATAATTCATTGTTCACTGTGTGTAACAAAATTCAGTTAATTCTATGTCTAGTAGGAGTTGGGCCGATTACTCGCGGCTTACTCGAGGTTAGAAGGGTACATTTTCGAAGGATAGGATCAGGGGAGGAGCTTGGGGTAGGGTTTCGTTGTCTCATCAGAGCGTTGTCGCCAGTATGAACGGTAGTGCTGTTCTAGCTTCGTCCGGAGTTCGACCGGCTATGGTGGGTGACCAGTGGGCGACGATGAGACTCATCGAGACGGGGGGACAAGACAAACAAAAACTAATAAAGAGAGACAAAAGGAATTAAATTCTTATACTAGACATTTGAAGAAAAACATAAACGGACTGCATATAGCAGAGATCACGGGTTGCCAACACGTCTCTGATAGGAACATAGGGTTGTCTTCCTTGGGCCTCGAGGGTATTCAAAAGTCGCTCTCTGGCGGCGTCATTATCCGTACATTGCCAAACTGCGTGTTCGATGTCGTCGTAACCGTTTCCACACCGACAGATGTTGCTGTCCACGAGGTTTATTCTATTGAGATGAGCATCTAGCGAGTAGTGGTTGGACATAAGTCTACTCATCACGCGAATGAAGTCACGACTTAAGCCCAAGCCTTTAAACCACGCTCTTGAAGAAACATTAGGAGTAATTGAATGTAACCACCGTCCAAGATTTCCAGTGTCCCAATCGGTTTGCCAACTCGAAAAGGTACTCTGACGCACTAAATGGTAAAATTCATCGTGTGAAATTTGCCTGTCATACAATTCGCCTTCCTGCGCGCCCACCTTTGCGAGAGAGTCCGCCTTCTCATTGCCTGGGATTGAGCAATGTGAGGGGACCCATACAAAGGTAATCATATATGATCTTTCGACCAGCACACACATCTGCTCCCTTACCTTTGAAAGGAAATTGGGCCTATTCTGCGCGGCGTGTGAGGTGAGGTGACAGTGAAGTGATGGTGAAGTGACAATTGTCACCTCGGGTGAGGTGACTCTCCATTTGATTTGCACGGAGAGTCACCTCACCCGAGGTGACATTTGTCACTTCACAAGTGACAGCGTGTCACCTCACCTCACACGCCGCGCAGATTAGGCCAAAATAAGATGAGTGCCTACCTTGTTTCATCGACCGAATAGCCTCAATCGAACTGAGAATATCCGTGCGTCTATCTTTAAAACTGTCGCATTAATGGCCCTTCGCTCATATTCAAACTTCTATTCAATTTTCATACTGCCGTACTCTAACGGAACTATCCACCTACCCTCTTCCAAAAAAGATCATTCTCTAGCTAATAAATTATCACACTAAAGCTTCATGTTAGCATTTCCAACCAACTCTGAAAATCGCTAACTTCGCGTATGAAGTAATATAAAAAACACTTTGAATGTTAAAACTAACGTTAGTAAAGCGGGGCCGATTACTCGCGGCTATCTCGAGGTTAGGGGTGACAAATTGTAACAAATGGATGGCAGGGTAGGGATTGTGAACACAAGTTTTGTAGAGCAATGTGCTCTTGATCTCGAACTAAACGACACTCTGATGAAAAAGACAAACATGGGGGTACACCGATGGGCAGCTAACAACTTGGGAGAACACAAGATGACACTAACTACTAAATCCTCAGATCTATCAGTTTTAAAAACACATAAATTAAATTCAAATAGTCGAGGTCTCGGCTCGCCAAGACATCTCTAACGGGTATCGCGGGTTGTTTTCCTCGGGCCCTGAGGGATGTGGATAACTCAGATCTGGCAACACGGAGTAAGGTACATGACCAAACAACATGCTCGATATCGTGATAACCACTGCCACACGCACATACATTGCTGCCTGAGAGCCCAATTCGATAGAAGTGCGAGTCTAACGAGCAGTGATTGGACATAAGCCTTGATATAACGCGTATAAAGTCGCGGCTCATGTCCAACCCTTTGAACCATGGTTTGTTCGACACCTGTGGGAGAATATAATGTAACCATCTACCCAATTCACCATCATTCCATTTTTGTTGCCAACTGATGAGGACTTGCTGACGAGCAATGGAGAAAAATTCGTTGAAGGCGATTTGTCGCTCAAAAATATCGCCAAAAATATCGCGCTATGCCCACCTTAGCCAACGAGTCCGCTTTCTCATTACCCGGAATTGAGCAAGGTGAGCTAAGGTGATAGTATATGAG